TTTAGTCTTCTCCCCTTGGTCACCTTTTCAGCTGCACGAGTTCAGCCCTGTGCTGAGCTCAGGCTCTTCCCTTTTTATTTACACCTATAATCATAGTGACCTTCAGTGAGAAAGGCAGCAGATGAGGGAACAGGGGAGAAATGGTTTTAGCCCATCACGGTATTTCCACAGTTTATGCCCAGAAGAGTTTCTAGGACATAGAGAGTTCTATCATCGATGTCTAGTTCACTGGCCTATCCCAGCTAACTGAGCACATGGGTAACTGTGAGGACTCGAGATTTCAGAGATGGGCCTACAACATGCCAGGCACAGAGTGGATCAGTCTGCAGGACATGAGGATGTTTCAGGGTAAGAAAACAGCGTGTTTTCCACTTAAATATTTTCAGACAATCTATAACAACTGACTATGATAAAGAATAAAATCGAGTTAAAATTATCCATACCATTGTTTGATTGGTAAATTAAAAGTAATTTCTTGCCAGTGTCTTTGAGCTTCATAATCACCAAACATGGGGGGTTTTCCAGCACCTAAGATGAAAGGTAAAAAGAGCAAAACGACAATGTACTTTAGCATATCAGTGAATTTTATTTCCTTATGAAAATTTTCTAAATTATAAAGACAGTACAGCTTAGGGAAAGAACACAAGAGTTACCAAAAAAGTCAGAGAAATGAGGTCTGAATCCCACCCCTGTGTGTGTGAATGTGTGATGTTGGGCCAATTCTTAATCTCCCTAAGCTTCAGCACATTAAAAACAGGATGAGGGTTGGCACCTAGCTCAGTGCGTAGGGTGTCGGCCACATACGCTGAGGCTAGCAGGTTCGAGCCCAGCCCAGCCTGCTAAACAATGACAACTGTAACCCAAAAAAAAACCCAGCTGGGTATTGTGGCAGGCGCCTGTAGTCCCAGCTACTGGGAGGCTGAGGCAAGAGAATCACTTAAGCCCAGGAGTTTGAGGTTGCTGTGATGCCACAGCACTCTACTCAGGGCGACATAATGCTCAAAAACAAACAAACAAAAAAGCCAGGATCAATACAATCTTCCTACAGAGGCCTAGTGGAATAAATAAGTCAATGGATATAAAATACCCACCACAGTGCCTGCCTGGCACGCAGTAAGCATTCAATGAACAGAAGCTACTGTTAATGTCACCGTCATCTCTCAGGAGCCACGGAGGGTTGGTTCCAGGACCACATCCCCACGGACACCAAAATGCGGATGCTCAAGTCTCTTCTATGAAGTGGGACAGTATCTGTGTACAATCTATGCACATCCTCCTCTACATTTTAAGTCATCTCTAGATTACGTATGACACCTAATAAATGCTGTGTGAATTGTTGTCATACTGTATTGGTTAGGAAACTGTGACGAGGAAAAAAGTCTTAGATGTTCAGAACAGATCCAACTATCCCTTTTTGTTTCCTCAATATTTTCAATCAATGGTTGGTTGAATCCAGATGCAGAACCCATAGGTATAGGAAGCTAGCCACCCATACTTAGCTAAGAATAATATACAGCACCCAAGTTTATTTTCATTTCACAGGCAAGACTACACTGTCCAGTAGGTATTATAAAATAATTACCACAATGAATACCTGCATTTTACAAAGGGCTTATTCAAATTAAATACAAATAACAACATCAAGTGTAGAATCAAAAACAGACTATATGTTAAAAAGACATTAATCAAGGGCGGCGCCTGTGGCTCAGTGAGTAGGGCGCCAGCCCCATATACCAAGGGTGGCAGGTTCGAACCCGACCCCAGCCAAACCGCAAAAAAAAAAAAAAAAAACAAAAAACCCAAAACATTAATCAATTCAGACCATATGGTCAAATGAATTATGTAAAAACTTTCAGTTTATAGTTTTATTTTAATTTCAAATGTTCACCTTTAATAGCTAACACCTGATAATAAGTACAATGTGCCAAATACATTTCAACCCTATGAAATGGGTACTGTTGTTACCCCCACTTCACAGCTGGAGAAGTGGAGGCAATGGTCACTCTGGGAGGAAGCCGCAGAATCTGGATGTGAACTCAGGCAGGCTGGCTCCCAGCTCATACTCTACAATGCATACAACCTGGTTAAAGTAGGTTATTATCCTTAAATCATTTAACACGACATGAGGCATTTCCATTTACAGAAGAGTAAACACCCACTCACTGTTTAACTAACAGCTGACGACAGAATTGTGAGATGCCCACAGAGCTACAGTCCAGCCACACTATGAACTGGCATGTGAGGCAGAAATCACAGATAGTCACACACACTCCCTAATCCACCGGAAAGCTGTGCCACAAGAATGACAGGTTACTGCTCACTGAAATGAAACCTAGATTTTCTCCAGTCTTGGAACACTGGGTTAAGAAGACTGCCTGCATGCAATGGCAGAATTATACTATTCTTTAATGCTGGAATCTCTATCCAAGTAGATGTTCCAACTACGAGATAACCATGGGAAAAGTAGATTAATTTCTCCATAGCACACACACTGAGCGGCTGGCACAAGAAAGCAGCGACCGTATACATACACAGAGGAATCACGTAATGTTCATTTTTGTATTCAGCAATAGCACCTTCTAGATTCTCGGTGAATGGTGACACAGCAAGGAAGTGGACACAATCAGTCTAGCCGACACAGCCAGGATTTTAAGTTGGTGAGTTCCTAACTGTCCATTCACTACATGTGCAACATTAATTTGTGATAAATCAATTAATTATGCCAGAGCTGTCTTAACAAGATGCCCCCATATTCCCCCCAAACATCTTCTGACACTTTGAAACTCTGAGCCTCTGTTCACACTGGTGACTCCCTGGTCTACATAGTTCTTCCTTTTTTTTTTTTTTGAGACAGAGTCTCACTTGGTCACCCTCAGTAGAGTGCCGTAGCATCATAGCTCACAGCAACCTCAAACTCTTGGGCTTAAGTGATTCTCTTGCCTCAACCTCCCAAGTAGCTGGGACCACAGGAACCCACCACAACACAGGCTATTTTTAGACACAGGGTCTTGCTCTCTCTGGTGCAGGCTGGTCTCTAACCTGTGAGCTCAGGCAATCCACCCGCCTCTGCCTCCCAGATTGCTGGGATCACAGGCATGAGCCACCACGCCCGGCTTACATATTTCTTCTATCACCTGATACCCAGCCTTCGAGAATCGCCTCAAGGTGACTCTCCTTTTTTATAGAATGAGATGTTGCCCAATAGAAAAAAAAAAAAAAAGACTCATCTCAAATCCTAAAACCTCCATGAAACCTTCCTTTATAAATTAAAAGCATACTGACCATCAATTGCTGATTTCTCATAATATTTATGACCATATTGTTCCCTATTGCTACCCAAATAAGAATGACCCACAATAAAAATATTTTTTAAAAGGAAAAGAATTCACCAATGAATTGCATTTTTGCATATGTACTTTATGGATGTTTGTGTGTGTGTTTCTATTTTAAAGAATACAGTCACTGAATACGGCTTTTGGGCTTAGTGCCTGCGCTCAGCGGTTAGGGTGCTGGCCACATACACTGGGGCTGGGCAATTCAAAGCTGGCCTGGGGCTGCTAAACAACAATGACAACTGCAACAACAACAACAACAAAAATAACCAGATGCGTGGCAGGTGCCTGTAGTCCCAGCTACCCAAGAGGCTGAGGTAAGAAAACAGCTTAAGCTCAAGAGTTTGAGGTTGCTGTGAGCTATGATGACACCATAGCACTCTACGGGGCAACAAAGTGAGACTCTGTCTCAAAAAAAAAAAAAAAATATGGCTTTTGTTGGGGAGAAAATAGATTTTAATTTTTTGTTTATTTTGTTTTTGATCTGTTGGGATAATAAAAGTTAGGGGGGATCTTAAGTAATTTCCTATACCTGAAAAAAAAAATCCAACAATCTAGACTTTCTGAAATTGCTCCAGACTTGGGGTCAATGTAGAAGAATTTATTACCATTCTCTAACAAATAGAAGAATGGATAATGACTCTCTTTAGGGTTGGGAAACAAGTTTCTATCCAAAGTCTGACCTACTTCAATAAATTCAGCTGACACTGGCTATGAAATTAGTACTTAAGTTTTTCAAACTGCTAAAGTGCCCTTACAGCAACCCAGAAGGACAACCCAACTATACCTATGGGAGCTTCACTTGGGAAGGGCAAAGAGGATTCCTTCTAGTGATTAATTCCACAAATTCATTTACCTGAGATTCAGAATTACATTAAGAAAACACACTAATGTGTATTTATAGAGCTTCAATTTTCTCTCATTCTCAGGAAAATGGGCTTAAGCACCACTTAAATGTTCATTTTATTAATTGCTAAACTAATAAAAATTGTGTTTGAATTTATCTAAAGAGCAAGTAGTTTCACTGTTAAAATTACATATGGTCTTGGCTCGGCACCTATAGCTCAACCGGCTAAGGCGCCAGCCACGTACACCTAAGGTGGCCGGTTCAAATCCCCAGCCCTGACCCGCCAAACAACAATGTGGCTGCAACCAAAAAATAGCCGGGTGTTGTGGCGGACGCCTGTGGTCCCAGCGACTTGGGAGGCAGAGGCAGGAGACTAGCTTGAGCCCAGGAGTTGGAGGTTGCTGTGAGCTGTAATGCCATGGCACTCTGCCCAGGGGGACAGCTTGAGGCTCTGTCTCAAAAAAAAAAAAAAAATTACATATGGTCTTGACTCGGCACTATAGCACAGTGGTTACGACGCCAGCCACATACACGGAGACTGGCGGGTTTGAACCCAGCCCAGGCCAGCTAAACAACAATGACAACTGCAACAATAACACCAAAAAACAGCCAGGCATTGTGGCGGGCACCTGTAGCCCCAGCTACTTGGGAAGCTGACACAAGAGAATCGCTTAAGTTAGAGGTTGCTGTGAGCTGTGATGCCACAGCACTCTATTGATGGTAACATAGCGAGACTCTGTCTCAAAGAAAAAAAAAAACACATACATATTGTCTTTACAATGAAATCTGTAAAAGAATTTGGGTAAAATTTTCCATAATAAAATCTTCCTTTTATACAATTCACAGGAATGGGTTAAGTTGAAAGAACCTAACCAATTAATCTGAACACAGTCATACTTAAACAATGTATGCTATGTTGCAAAAACTGATTCTCTATGACCTCCTCCTCCTAAACGGCCAAAGTGACTTTGGAAAAAAATTATTAAAATAAAATAATCATCTTTAGCTCAGATTTGCTCTAAAGACACTGGCAACACTTTGAATCAAGTACAGAGAAATTGTGACTCTCTGCCAGAAATAATAATCAATACTAAAATCACAGTGGGCGTGGTGGCTCACGCCTGTAATCCCAGCACTCTGGGAGGCTAAGACGGGTAGACAGCTTGAGCTCACAAGTTCAACAGGCTGAGCAAAAGGGAGACCCCATCTCTACTAAAAATAGAAAAAATGAGGCAGAGGATCACTTGAGCCCAAAAATTAGAGGTTGCTGTGAGCTATGGCACCACGGCATTCTACCCAGGATGACAGCTTGAGACTCTGTTTCCGAAAAAAAAAAAATACTAAAATCAAAATTTGTCTTCTCTCTACCAATTATTTAAAAGTTGTTACTTTTGAAGGGCTGTGAAGAGTGACTCACGCCTATAATCTTAGCACTCTGGGAGGCCAAGACAGGTGGATCGCTTGAGCTCAGAAGTTTCAGACCAGCCTGAGCAAGAGTGAGACCCCATCTCTACTTAAAAAAAAAAGTGCACTGGGGAGACAGTGAAGATCGTACTTCCCACCTCTGCCAACACAGGAAAATAGAAAGAAGAGTCCTGTGAAAATTCCCAATCACAAGCTTGCATTCGCCCAGTTCGGGGCCTGAATTCATACCAAGTATGTGACCCAAAGAAATGTTAAGCTGACAAGTTAGTTTGACTTTCGCCAACAGTGTCCCAGATACTTAACAGGAAGCAACACAAACCCTACCTGGAAAATGTACAGTAAACGCAGGCCTCAAAGAATTCCCACAGATCAGTTTCAAGTTACAAAAGCTTACAGATTTTAAATATCATTAAATTTATGAAGAAACAAAATACCATGAGCTAAAGTTAGCAGAAACAAACTAAGAAATCAGACTATAGATACCAGAATTGTTAGGGAATATAAAATAAGCAGGTGCATCTGTTTAATGACAGGAAAGAAGACCCAGAGCGCATCAGAAATGACCAGGGTCAGCTCGGGGCCTGTACTCAGTGGTCAGGGCACCAGCCACATACACCGAGGCTGGCAGATTCAAACTCAACTGGGCCTGCCAAACAACAACGGCAACTACAACAAAAAGTAGCTGGGCATTGTGGCAGGCGCCTGCAGTCCTAGCTATCTGGGAGGCTGGAGTTTGAGACTGCTGTGAGTTGTGACGCCAGGGCACTCTACCGAGGGGAACATTGTAAGATTCTGTCTCAAAAGAAAAAAAAAAAAAAGAAATGACTAGCTCAGCGGTCATAGCACAGTGGTTACAGCACCAGCCAAACACACCAAGTTATACAGCGCCAGCGCCAGCCAGTTGAACAACAATGACAACTACAACAAAAAAATAGCTGGGTGCTGTGGCAGGAGCCTATAGTCTCAGCTACTTGGGAGGCTGAGGCAAGAAAATCACTTAAGCCCAGGAGTTTAAGGTTGCTGCGAGCTGTGACACCAGCACTCTACCAAGGGTGACATAGTGAGACTCTGCCTCAAAAAAAAAAAAAGAAAAAAAAGAACAGACATGGCAGTGTTGGGCCAATGGATCAGAATGTAGAGTCAGAAACAGAAGCCTGCAACTATGAAAACCTGGTATACCCAGAACCTATAATGCAGATTAGTGGGAAAGGATGGACTGTTTAATAAATAACCTGAAACCACCTATTATTTGTGAAGAACAAAAGTTAAAATGGGGCTCCGTACCTGTAGCACAGTGGTTACAGTACCAGCCACATACACCAAAGTTGGTGGGTTTGAATCCAGCTCAGGCCAGCTAACCAACAATGACAACTGCAACAACAACAACAAAATAGCCGGGTGTTGTGGTGGGTGCCTGTAGTCCCAGCTACTTAGGAGGCTGAGGTGAGAGAATCACTTGAACCCAAGAGTTTAAGGTTGCTGTGAGCTGTGATGCCACAGAACTCTACTGAGGGCAACATAGTCAGACTCTGTCTCAAAAAAAAAAAAAAAAGTTAAAATGGATCCCTATACACTAAATATAAAAAAATCAACTCCAAGGAGATATGTACTTAAATAGGAAAGACAAACCTCAAAACTTTCAAAGAAAATTTTGAGAAAATATCTCTGTGATCAAGAAGTACAGAATAATTTACGATACAAGAAGCACAAACTACAAAGAAAAAATTGATAAATATTATTTTAAAATGTAGGCTCGGCGCCTGTGGCTCAAGTGGCTAGGGCGCCAGCCACATACACCTAAGGTGGTGGGTTCGAATCCAGCCCAGGCCACCAAACAACAATGATGGCTACAACCAAAAAATAGCCAGGCATTGTGGTGGGCGCCTATGGTCCCAGCTACTTGGGAGGCTGAGGCAGGATAATGGCTTGAGCCCAGGAGTTGGAGGTTGCTGTGAGCTGTGATGCCATGTGTCCCAGGGGGACAGCTTGAGGCTCTGTTTCAAAAAAAAAAAGTATAACTTTTGTTCAGTAAAAGACATCTTAGAGAATATGACAAGACAAGCCACAAACTGGGAAAGATATTGCAGTTTGGACAAAGGTTAGCTTCCAGAATTCTTATCCCATCCTTTTTGTTAATTCTTTTAATGCTACTGCAATACTGAATACCTTGCTCTCTAGAATACTTTTGCCACTTCATGCCTAGCAATTTCTGACTCATCCGTCAAACTTTAAATTCAAACATTTTCTCTAAAGCCTTCTCTAATTCATCCAAATCAGCCACTTCTCTATTGGTACCTCTGTACCTCATACGTACTTCTACTAAGTACTGTATTTATCTATCAAGATGTGGGCCTCTGAGTGTTGGATATTTACCTTGTGTTCTCAGCACCTGGAACACAGCTAGGGCTAAACAGGTGTTTGTGGAGTGAAATTTCCCATCCCCACAGCCTGCAGGACCACACCCCATCAAGTCCCCCTCCTCATACCCAGTCTCATTCCTCCACTGACCCCCAACTCCAGCCAAGTCCCTACTGCACCTTAAATGCCCTCCACGCCTCCTGTGAAGTGCCTCTCACTCCTCTCTTCAGCTTCTAATATATACTCAATTCTGCCCCGGTGGAATACATTTTTGTTTTCTCACATCACAAAGCCCATACCTCTGTGAGCTCTTACACATATTCTTTTTATTAGAATTAGATGTTTAAATATATATATGTTCCTGGGCATGCCAATAAAGCCTGAAATTCTTCTGTCAGGATTGGAAAACTGTAAACTATTACTAAAAGAAACAAACACCTATTCATAGGAGTTTTTACCTTTTTTTAAATAGTAAAAATGATTTACCTGAATAAGAATTAAGAGAGACTGTCCACCGTACTGTCAGTCCTATTAAGACCACCACTGTCATCAAGTACCATTTCTCCATAGTTCTTTAAATTTAGGAAAGTAAAAAAAAAAAACCAAAAAACAAAAAAGCAGGCCCACTGCCAGAACACTTCTAACACAAAGGCAGCTGCTTCTTTTCTTGTTCAGAAAATGTTACCACTTCTTTGGAAGTAGAAGTTTGAGAGGATTTTGACTCTTCAATTTCAAACAGCCAAAATTGATTGCATCTGTGTAGAAGTAGCCTAGAGGGAGGGGAAAAAAATACCAAGATTTAGCTAAGCACAGTACTTAAAACAGTGACCCCATTAGATCAAGTAGAAAGACGGAGAATTGGAGGTACGGTAACCTTGGGGAGGGCTGAGTAGGGAAGACCGTAGTCTGAAGTTCCTTGTTCCCCAGTCCTATAGATGAGAAACAGACCTCAAAAAGTTAACTAACTCTGTTAAATGGGATTCAGTCATCTAAAGATGCAGTGAAGATCCAGAGAATATCTGAGAGGAAAAAACCAACAGAGATATGCAGATAATGGAGCACAGTCAATTCTGCCTAGAACATGTTCGCCCACAGGTAGATACTAAAAATACATAAAACCACAAAGGTAGACCAAGGGGTGATTTATCTTTGGTACAGAAATAGAGGATTTTTTTTTTTTTTGGAGACAGAGTCTCATTTTGTTGCCCTCGGTAGAGTACCGTGCCATCATAGCTCACAGTAACCTCAGACTCTCAGGCTCAAGCGATTCTCTTGCCTCAGCCTCCCAAGTAACTGGGACTAGAGGCTCCGGCCACAACGCCCAGCTATTTTTAGAGATGCGGTCTTGCTCTGGCTCAGGCTGGTCTCAAACTCATCAGCTCAGGTAATCCACCCACCTCAGCCCTCCAAGTGTTGGCATTACAGACGTGAGCCACCACACCCGGCCAACAAGAAAGAGGAATTTGGTCTTTGTATTTAGTTTGGAAAAGTCTCCCAACAAAGTAATTTCTGTAATTTGGTTTTTGACTTCATTTCTTTTAAAATATATTTGCACTAAACACACCATCTTTCCATCTAAGAGATATGAACTTTGGCAAGAATCAGTAAAGATAACCCCAAACCTTAGGAGAAAATACAAATCACTGAAACCTATTTAACCACTTAATTTTATTTTAATTTTTTTTTTGCAGTTTTTAGCTGGGAGCTGGGTTTGAACCTGCCACTTCCGGTATATGGGGCCGGGGCCCTACTTCTTTGAGCCACAGGTGCCGCCCCACTTAATTTAATTTTTTACTTTTTTCCTTAGATTGGGGTTTAAAAGTAAGAAGCAAATTAACATTTTCTCTCTTCTCTTTGAAAAATGATGGACTGTTTTTTGTATTTTCTCAACTAAGAGTCACATTTCTTAAGTTTTAGGAATTCAAAAAGGTCAGGTCTCTGGCCAGCTCACACCTATAACCCTAGTAGCAGTCTGGGAGGCTGAAGCAGGAAGATCTTTTGAGCTCAGAAGTTCCAGACCAGCCTGAGCAAGAGTGAGACCCCCCCCATCTCTAATAAAAATGGAAAAACCAGCTGGGCGTTGTGGTGCTCACCTGTAGTCCAGCTACTCGGGAGACTGGGGCAAGAGAATGCTCAAGCCTGACTTTGGGGTTGCTCTGAGTTATGATGCCACAGCACTCTACCCAGGGCGACAGAGTGAGACTGTCTCAAAAAAAGAAAAAAAGACGTGTCTCATTCAATAAGAATTTTTGTCAACCTTCCGTAAAGCTGTCAACTGTCAAAGAGAACAAAATTTAAGACACAAATTACATCAATGTAAGTGATAAACTATTTCAACTAGATATATTTCAAATGTAGTTCAGAAAAATATGATAAGTCAACTGAAAAATTTAAAATCAGTACATTTTACCTACTGGGCTAAAATTATCTTCCTACTTAAAGTAAAAACATCAATGGAAAACTCCAGAACTAATGACACCCAGCATCTCAATCAGGTAGAACAACTCAAAGCTTTTAAAAAAGCTATGTGGGCTGCACCTATAGCTCAGTAGGACGCCAGCCCCATGTACTGAGGGTGGTGGGTTCAAATCTGGCCCCAGCCAAACTGCAACAAAAAAAGAGAATCGCCTAAGCCCAAGAGCTGGAGGTTGCTGTGAGCTGTGATGCCACAGCACTCTACTGAGGGCAACAAAGTGAAACTCCATCTCTAAAAAAAAAAAGACTATGCAACTCTAATATTCAAATTTGGATTATACAAATAACCTTTCTCTTTCCTTCCTACCACAGTAACTTTTTAATAAAAGTCTTAATCTGGGGCGGTGCCTGTGGCTCAAAGGAATAAGACGCCAGTCCCATATGCCGAAGGTGGCGGGTTCAAACCCAGCCCTGGCCAAAAAAAAAAAAAAGTCTTAATCTGTCATCCAGGTAATACAGTGATTATTCAGTCTGAACACCTGGGCTTGGGTGATCCTCTGGATTCAAGGTTATTCTCCTGCCTTAGCCTCCAAAGTAGCTGGAACTACCAGCACCCTCCACCACTACCACCACCTCCCAATACTCACCCTTGCTAATTTTCTTTTTTTTGAGACAAGCATCTCACTTTGTTGCCCTGAGTAGAGTGTCACAGGGTCATAGTTCACAGCAACCTCAAACTCTTGGGCTCAAGCACTTCTCTTGCCTCAGCCTCCCAAGTAGATGGGACTATAGACACCTGCCACAACACCTGGCTATTTTTGCTCAGGCTGATCTGGAACTCTTGAGCTCAAGCAATCTGCCCACCTCAGTCTCCCAAAGAGCTAGAATACAGGCATAAGCTACTGCGCCTGGCTTATTTTTCTATTTTTAGTAGAGACCAAGTCTCACTCTTGCTCAGGCAGGTTCTGAACTCCTGAGCTCAAGTAATCACCCGTCTCAGTTTCCCAGAGTGCTAGGATTATAGGTGTGAGCCACCATACCTGACCAACATGAATATACTTAACACTACTGAATTTTACACTGAAAATACTTAAAAGTGATAAATTTTATATTATATATATTTTCCCATAATAAAAAATTATAATACCAAAAGAAACAGGAAATTTTGAAAAGTTTGTTAGTGTTCTTGGGGCTTTTCCAAATCTCCTCAGCCTCCCAGAGTGTTGGGATTAAAGGCAAGAGCTATCACACCCGGCCTAAACTGTTTTTTTTTTTTTTTTTTAGATACACCATCTCACAATGTTGTCCAGCCTGGTTTCAAATTCCTGGCCTCCTCCTGCCTCTGCCTCCCAATGTCCTAAGATTATAGGTGTGAGCTCTCATGCCTAGGCTGCATTCACCTTGGATTATTTCATTATTCACTGGAACTTCTATTATAGAGACAAGAAAGAGGAAAAATTAAAACACTTTCTTTTTTTTTGAGACAGGTCTCACTTTGTCCCCCTTCCCCTCCCCATAGAGTGCTGTAGCATCACAGCTCACAGCAACCTCATACTCTTGGGCTCAAGAGATTCTCTTGCCTCAGCCTCCTGAGTAGCTGGGACTACAGGTACCTGCCACAACACCTGGCTATTTTATTTTTTTTAAAGAGACAGAGTCTTACCCTGTCTCCCTCCGTAGAGTGCTATGGCATCACAGCTCTCAGCAACCTCCAACTCCTGGGCTTAGGCGAGTCTCTTGCTTCAGCCTCCCAAGTAGCTGGGACTATGGGCACCCACCACAACGCCCAGCTAATTTTTTTGTCACAGTTTGGCTGGGGCCGGGTTTGAACCTGCCACTCTCGTTATGTGGGGCCCATGCCCTACCCGCTGAGCCACAGGCATGCCCTATTTTTTGTTTCTTTAGCAGGCTTGGGCCAGGTTGGAACCCACCAGCCCCAGAGCATGTGGCCAGCACCCTAACCACTGATCTACAGGCCTCAGCCAAAATTAAGTCACTTTCTAAGGCTAATTCTGACTTTGACACTGAGCACAGGCCATTATAAACTAACTCAAAAAGCCCCTTTTATCAACATGCTGCCGCACGCATCCCAGACTTCTAATATTAAGCTCTATTTTCTGCTAACATGTCATGTTTAAAATGCATTCTAAAAATGCTAATTCCTGGATTTTAAAATACAGCTTAAGCCCTGGGTGTGGCTCACGTCTATAACCCCAGCACTCAGCGGGGTTTGCGCTCACAAGTTCCAGACCAGCCTGAGCAAGATCCTGACTCTTAACACAGCCGGGCGTTGTGGTGGTGCCTGTAGTTCCAGCTACTTGGGAGGCTGAGGCAAGAGAATCGCCTAAGCCCAAGAGCTGGAGGTTGCTGTGAGCTGTAAGGCCACAGCATTCTACCGAGGGCAACAAAGTGTGACTCTGTCCCAAAAATTAAAAAAAAAAGAAAAGCTTAACACTTCAGAGTATATACATTCATACACATGTTCCGTAACAGGTTCGTAAGTAGGAAGAACTAATCAAGTGCCAGAAATCAAGACAGAGGTTACCTTTGGGGAGGAAAGAAAGGCCGTGATTGGGAGGGAAGTCTTCTGAGATGCTGGGAATGTGTGTCCTTTGAGCGGTGCTTAAAGGATGTGTTTAGGGGGCAGCACCTGCGGCTCAAAGGAATAGGGGCGCTGACCCCATATGCCGGAGGTGGTGGGTTCAAACCCAGCCCCGGCCAAAAAACTGCAAAAAAAAAAAATAAAGATGTGTTTACCTTGCGATAAAGTGATGTGTTTATGATAACAAGTCATGTTTTGTGTACATTATTTTTCTGTACGTGTGATATACTCCAAATAAAACGCATAAAAAGAAATTACATTTATGTCCCGACTAGAATAAAAGTTCCACGCCGGCATGGATCCTCCCATCTGAGCTCCGGCTGTGCCCTGCTCGGCGGGAAGCAAGTATCCAGGAAGTTAATCTGCTGAATGCAGGTGTGAAGCGGAGGGTGTGTGAGAGGAGGGGAGAGACCTGAACTTAGTCCTATGTGGTTAACAGGTCTCTGCTCTTTAAATGGTAAAAAGGGCCCTTTATGACTTTCTCCGCCTGCAAACCAAAACACAGTAACTTTCTAACCATCTACGTGCAACCAAGCGGCCGTGCAGGACGCAGAGGACCATTCCGCGCTACTTCGTCGAGCGTGCATCTCGGAAACAGAAAAGCCCCGGTCCACGGCCCGGAGCGGAACGTGTCCCTTCCAGTCTGCGGGGACCGTGGCACGACACCCGGGAGCGCAGCCACCCTGCCGAGGTCCCTCCAGACGCTTCTCCCGCCTTTGTCCAGAGGGCCAGACCCTTAGAGTCGCAGGGACACGGGCGCCAGGGCTGCGCAAACCAGGAGTTGCCACCACCACGGTGTTCCTCACCCGACCCCAGGGGACTCTGGCTGGGGAGGCCGCGCGTCGCGTTCCTGAGAGGGACAGAGCCGGGATCCGGAGACCCGGAACCCCAGGTCCTTACCCCGCCGCCCGCCGGCTGCCGCGATTCGCGCGCGCAGCGGTCCCGGGAAGGCGCCTGCGCGCTCGCCCCCGCGGCGACGAGCTCCTCCCTTCCGCCTCTGCGTGCTCGCGCACCCCCTGCGCGGCCGGCCGGGCGCGAGCACGGCGGGGGCGGGGCGGGCGCCGGCGCGGAGGCGGGAACCCGGGAGTCGCCGGCCGGGTGCACCTCAGGGCAGGCGGAAAGCCCCGTACTCTTCTTCCCGGGATGGTGGCCAAGACCTGAGCGGCTGCCCAGGCCACGGATTCCTGTCGGGGGTGAGTCCTGGCTGGACTCACGGAGGGGACAGCCCCGAGCCAGTCCCCACCACCGACCGGGCAGGAGGTCTGCTGGGCCTGCGTCCTTAACGCGCCCAAACGGCGCCTGCTTCGCTTTGTTCCAGCCACAGGCGGGCGAAGAAGGGTGTCTTAAGACTGGGGGTCGCTGCGCGGTAGACACGTACCTGAGCCTGCATCCTCGGAGCCTGTGTGTTGTGCAGAATCACAGCCCTGCCTTTCTGTAGCGCCTGCGCAGCGTGAATCACCGGTCCCCAAGTTTGCCAAAACTGCGTTATCTATTCACTGTGTTATCAACACCTGTACGTGTTTCCTGTTGCATCGATTCCTTCCTTTCCCGGTTCGCTATTTTCATCTCAGTTCAGGCCCTTGTCCCGTCGTGCACAGACTATTATGATTTCTGCGGGCGCTCTTTTGTTCAGAGGATGCCCTTATTCCCCCTCTTCTGAATCCTGCCCTCTATATGTGCCTACTCCTCTAATGTAAAGCATTAGCAAATATTTGGCTACAGCTGTACTTTTCTAAAAGGGTCCGAACAACACTCTGGGCCTGGTGTCTTCATAGTGAAATGAGTCAGAAGTACTAAGTGAACTTCCGGATCTACGATGTTAGACAGTCTAAGACTGTCAGCACTGGAAATAAGGAGACATATGGCCACGTCCTTGCTGGGAAAGGATCTAATTCTCATTGGAAAGATATTTTCATGCATAAATGGATAGAAAGCGGAAGGGAACGCATGCTAAATGTCACAGTGTTAGTATGTACACCGAGCACTGAAAGTTAGGAGAAGAGGGTCCACTACAAACTAAACCATCAGGAGATGCCTGCCTGGAGGAATCAGCTGAGCTTTGGAGGAAAGCCTGAGTTTACATAAGCCCAAAGAATGGGAAATAAGAATCTAGACAAAAGAAATGGTTCAAGCCGAAATTGTGGCAGCTGAAAAGTGCAGAACATTTCCTCCAGTTGAGGTGGTGGGTGATGAAGCAACTGCCCAGAGCCTTGTACCCCAGGTTGTGGTATTTGGAATTTGTTCATGGATCACCAGGAGGCCATAAAATGACTTTTAGAAAGGAGTCAAGTATGCAATACAGTGTTAGAGAAAATTTAAAGTGAATCAGAGAGAGAGGCACATCTCTGTAGTAAGGCTGGAAGGTCATGCTCGTGCCAGTCCCCTAAGTATTCCCAGTGGCTGAGGGGGGAGGATCCTTGATGTCAGAAGTTTGAGGTTGCAGTGAGCTATGATCTACCAGGAGAGACAGAGCAAGACTCTGTCTCAATAAGAGAAAAAGAATGTAGTCCCAGCTGCTCCAGAGGCTGAGGCAAGAGAATCACTTGAACCCAAGAGTTTGAGGTTGCTGTGAGCTGTGATGCCACAACACTCTACCAAGGGTGACATAGACTCTGTCTCAAAAAAAGAAAAAAAAAGTCACTATACCAGCCCAGGTATGGTTAGAGAAGGTAACAGTGCAAGTGGGAAGGAAGGGGACCCAGTTCTAGAGAAGTGCACAGGTCTTGGTAATATACCAGACAGGTAGGAGTGAAACTAAGGAGAGGGAGGATCAATGAGGGCTCCCAACTCTGAATTATGAGAATTGATAGATTTGGGGAGCCTGGAGAAGAAGCCGGTTAAGGGAAGTTAAAGGTGACAACAAAGTGTTGACACTCAAGTATCAGTTATGAATTAGCCCAGGGGGAAAAGTTGGGGTTAAAGATAGCCTTTTATTTGCTGAGGAATAATGGAGGCAGTATAGAGGGATATAGACAACTATACCTGAGGTTAACATATGTAAGGCCAAGAGGGAGAAGGTGAGCTGATGAAGAATATTATGCAGTTACAAATGCAGGGGGCCTTCAGCACATTGCAGGATCATAGACATAACCACAGTGTGAACAAGAGCTGTGTTTTGCAGGCAAAGCAATCACATTTTATTGCGTCTAAGCTTCCACTGATTGTAAAAAGGATTATTTAGCCTGTAGTTCCATTATTCGGCAGGTTGAGGTAGGGGGCTTGCTTGAGACCAGGGATTCAAGTCTGCAGTGAGCTATGATCACACCTGTGAATGGCCACTGCACTCCAGCCTGAGCCACAGAGTGAGGCCCCATCTCAAAACCACCAATTTTTTTTAAGCACCATTATTTTATGTACCATTAAGAAAGAAAAAGAAAAGCTGCCTTTTAAACTGGTAATGATTGTAAAACACAATTTCAGAAATACTAATATGTGAAAAATACACATCTTAAAATAATGAAAATCGGTATCAATCTCTCATTCCTGCCTCCCAACCCAATGGCTTCTGACCCAGTATTTAGCACAAAGTCAATCTTCAAAATGTTCATTCGATCGATAGTGGGAGAGACTTCAAACCTCTAACATGTAGCTGAACTGCCCCCACCACCATCTACACACTTGGTCCTGCTCATTCCCTGTAATAGGTCACATCTTTCAGCTCTGGAAGTCCAGTGCCTATACATAACAGATGCTCAATAAATGCATTTTGAATGACGCTATTTCCTATAATCCAAAAGGATAATCCATAGTAAAACTGTAGGGCAGATCAAGTTTAAAGACAGTACAGAAAGTTAGTTAAGAAGTAGTTTCTGACCTTGGAGACAAACAAGTTTAGAGTTAAGTTTCAGTTCCACTTTCTAGCTGTGTGACGTTGCTAATGCCTCTACCATTATTTCACCTCCCCAAAAGAATTGATGCCATCTTCCTTGAGTTGTAATGAGTAAAATGAAACCATGCATGTAAAATTATGAACATATTGCCAGTATATTGTATGCAATCAATAAATAATAATTATTACAGCTTGTCTTTTTTTTAAACAGAGTCTCACTCTGATGCCTAGGATTGAGCAGCCTGGTGTCATCCTAGCTCACAGCAACCTCAGACTCTTGGGTTCAAATGATCCTCCTGCCTCAGCCTCCTGAATAGCTAGAACGATAATCACCTGCCAAGAAGTCTGGCTAATTTTTTCTAGTTTTTACTTAAAGACACAGTCTAACTCTTGCTCAGGCTGCTCTCAAACTCCTGAGCTCAAGGGATCCTCCTGCGCCAGCCTCCCAGAGTGCTAGGATTATAGCAGTGAGCCACCGTGCCCAGCCTTACAATTTGTCTTTAATGCCATCTCACTTTTTGGCAGCCTTTTTCTCTCTTAGTGTCCTCTTGCCCCACAATATAACAGCCCAAATGTACGTATATTCACATCCCCAACAAAAATCCTACAGTTCATACCATCATTTTCTCTGAAACAAAACCTACACTAATATATAAGCCTCCCCAAGAGCTGATGTGTTTTTGGCCAGGTGCAGTGGATTGTTCCAGCTCAGGAATTCGAGAGCAGCCTGAGCAGGAGCAAGACCCCTGTCTCTAAAATAATTATCCTGGTGTTGTGGTGGGTGCCTGCAGCCCCACTTACTACAGAAGATGAGGCAAGAGGCTCTCCTGAGCCTAACGGTAGTTTGAGGTTGCTATGAGCCATGACACCAGGGCATTGTACTCTGAACAACAGAGGACATTTTACTCAGGACAATTTCTGCCTCAAAAAAAAAAAAAAGTGTTGTTGGATTTTAAAGGAACATAGTGAGTTCTGAAAGGAGTGATATCAATCTCATACATAAAGCCAGTTTGGCCAATAGGTGATGATTCCAATTATCTACTGCTATATAAGAAATTACTCCAAAACTCTGTGTCTTAAATAGCAATTATTTTATTTACTCATAATTCTGTGGGTCAAGAATCCAGGCAGGGTTAAGCTGGGTGGTTCCTCTGTTTTACTTGCATTGGCTGGGATCACTCCTGGGGCTACATTCAGCTGGGAGATCCACTGAGGCTAGAATATCTATGATAGCTGTATCTCTCCCTCCGCAAGGCTTCTCTCTCAAACAATTTAGCTAAACTTACGTGGTAATCTCGCTTCCCAGAGACAGTATTGCAAGTAACAAAGGCAAAAACAGACCCCCCCCCCTTTTTTTTGAGACAGAGCCTCAAGCTGTTGCCCTGGGTAGAGTGCTATGACATCACAGCTCACAGCAACCTCCAACTCTTAGGCTCAAGCGATTCTCCTGCCTCAGCCTCCCAAGTAGCTGGAACTACACCGACTATTTTTTGGTTATAGCCGTCATTGTTTCTGGCAGGCCCGGGCTGGATCCAAACCCACCAGCTCAGGTGTATGTGGCTGGCACCTTAGCCACTTGAGCCACAGGCGCAAGCCAAGTTGCAGACCTCTTATGCTTACTCTCTAGCCTTAGAAGTTACACAGCATCACACAAGCATGGTGGCTCACACTGTAATCCCAGCTACTTAGGAAGCTGAGGCAGTAGGATCCCTTGACGCCAGGCGTTTGAGACCAGCCTGGACAACATACATAGCCAGGCCCATAACTCCAAGAAAAAAAAAGTTTCACAGGCTGGCAGTGGCTCTTTCCTATAATCCTAGCACTCGGGGAGGCCAAGGCAGGAGGATCGCTTGCGCTCAAGAGTTTCAGACCAATCTAAATAAGAGCAAAATTCTGTTCCTGCTAAAAATAGAAACACTAGCTGGATGCTGTGGTGGTGCCTGTAGTCCCACCTACTTGGGAGGCTGAGGCAAGAGGATCACTTGAGCCCAAGAGTTTGAAGTTGCTGTGAGCTATGACATCACAGCACTCTACCCAGGGTGAGACTCTGTCTCAATAAAAAAAAAAAGAAAGAGGCTACTGGATACACTGAGCACAGTAACTGCAATGGATGGAAACACATCAAATATGAATCGTCTGCCTTATTTCTGAGTTTGTAATGATACTTAAGAAAATGGTCAAGAATGGAAGAAGCTAATAAAGCTACTCGTTATTTTGAAAACTTTTTTAAAAAGAAAAAGAATAAAGCAGTTATTCTGACTTTCTTAAATAAACTATTCCACTGGGTAGCCAAATAGTTGAGAAGGGAGTTTCTCTTTATACACTATTTCAGCTACCTTCCCCTCTCTCTCCACCCCCTCTTCCCACCCACTTTCCTCTACACACACACACACACACACACACACACACACACAATCACCCTTGTTTCAAATCTTAGAACAGGCCCACAGGTGAAAGGAATCTCTTTTGGGACTTCAGAAGCTAACCGCATATTTACATAGAAACAAACAGGATCAATCTAAAAGTGAATTGTTGTATACTGTGAACAGCGTGGTGATTTCAATGTTTTTATTGCTTAAATAAAGCTTATTAAGTTAACTTATAATTATTTATGGATATACTCA